TATTGGCCATTGGTAATCAACTCAACCTTCAGCCCCTCTCTCCTCACCAAAAGTTGAGGCAGTGGGGCTGGAAGTCCCAACACTCTAATCATGCCTTATTCTTTCCAGTGACCAATTCTCATCCTGAGGCTATCCAGGGAGAGCCAGTCATGAATCATTAGCATACAAAAAGACACATCACTTTGGAGATTCCAAGGATTTTAGAAGCTGTGTGCCAGGAAGTGGGAAGAAGACCAAATATATATTTTACAATATCACAGTTCCCTAACATCATCCAAAGGTGACAAGTGAGGTTTTAAAAAATCATTATGAATTCACGTATGTGAACATATTTGATATTTTTCAGTCCACTGAAGTTATTATACTTGTTGATGCTCAAATTTTCCTATCTTTAACCAGTGGGAACCTATTTAAGTTGGCTACCAAATCATTTTGACATAACCCTACCGGCCTTTAAAACTTCCCTGCTTTCTGACATGACGAGATGTTCCAGGCTTTCTTTACATTTCCTAATCCAACCCAGGCCTGGGGTTAGCCATTTTTCCAAGGCAGAGGTTCTCAAAGCTTGGCCCAGGGCCTCTTGTGATTCCTTGTGATCCTTTTATGGGGTCCATGATGTCAAGATTATTTCATAATAAGAGTTATCACTCGTACCCATGCCCCCAAGGATACTGAAGGTCCCAGGACCCCTCTCAGATACCCAAATCCACAGATGCTCATCTACTTCGTTAAAAGAAAAACTGTAGACAAATTAAGTTTAACAAAGTTTAATTGATCAAGGAAAAAGCAATTCACAAATTGGGTCCTCAGAATCACAGCAAATTCAGAGAGTTATCTCTGCACAGTTGGAGAGATTTTAAGAATAGAAAAAGGAAAGTAAAATACAAAAAAACAGAAGAGGTACAGAAACAGCCAGATTGGCTACAGCTTGGCGTTTGCCTTATTTGGTCCTGGTTTGGACAGTTGGCCACCTGTGAGTGGCTGAAGTATGGCTGCAGTGATTAACTGAGATGCAGTTATTGTTACAGAAGTATGTCTCCATTAGATTTTTCAGTTTGCTTATCTATTAAGTTAGGTTGCAATCCCTAAGTAAAAACTCAAGTATGCAAGTATGGAGACTTTCTCGGGCCAGATTTTAGTTTGGTTTAGCACCCTCATATAAAATGGGGGAGTATTTGCATATAACCTATGCACATCCTCACATATACTTTAAGTCATCTGTAGGTTATGTAACTGGGTACCCCAATTTTTCTAAGAAAAAGATAATGAGTTATTTTTTTTTTGTTATTTTTCTTCTTTTCTCTTCTGTTTCTTGCTATTCTCCACTTCCTACTAGCCCATTTGAAATGCAATTATAATCTTTTACCTCCCCTTCCCCAGACACTCCCTACAGGGAAAGTTCATCTAACAATGTACTTAGAAGCTCCAGAACAAACTCTCACCTACCAGACAATTGCCTCAAGCGGTAACAGTTGATTTACAACCCGAAGTATACCTGATGAGAAACCCTCTCCCACCAGGAAAGTTTTTGGCCATTTTTATAACTTATGTCTGCGCATAAAGATGCCAACTTGACTGACTAGTAGATAAGGTACCAAGCTACCATGTGGACTACCCACCCACTTGCTGTCTCCCCTGCCTTTCAAAAGTACCCACTTTCTGCTCCAAAAGTGAAGCAGTACCTTTGAGGCTGGAAGCCCATACTTCTTCCCCTAAGCTAGCTTTGGAATACAAAGTCACTTTCTTTATACCAGACCTCGCTCTTGTTAACTGGACTCTACAAGTATTGAGTGACTAAACCTGTGTTTCAGTTACAATTACTTATAATACTTAATACAATGTCAATACTCTGTCAATAGTTGTTATGCTGTATTGTTTAAAATTCATATTACTTTTTATTGGTTTTTTTTTTTCCTGAATAGTTTCTATCTGTGGTTGGCTGAATATGTAATTGTGGAACCCACAGATACAGAGAACTGACTATTTGCCCTTTTTATTTTACCCTTATAAAGTCTCATTCTCTCACAAATATACATGGGGATTTTCAGAGGCTATACGATGTGTTACACTATCATGGAATGCAGAGCAGTTATAACAATTCTGCTGTCATTTGTGAAGCAAGACATTAAAGACATTTACAAAAATGTAAAACAATGGCATTCTTCTCACTAATTTTTTAATAAGTACATTGTTACTTTAAAATTTTTAATTTCTAATGCAGTAAACATCAATAGATTTAACCCACATAAACAAAATCTCTTTGGGATCTCCAACAATTTTTAAGAATTTGAAGATTTCTTGGAAGCAAAACTTTTGAGAACTGCTGCTTCAAGCAGTCCTAGTCCCTTTCAATGGAAAATGTACATGAAAGATCACAATCTAAGAACAAAAGATGCTCATGATTACTGGTTTGGCAATTTCTTCTAGGCCATTATCAACAGGCAGAGCTAAGACAAAATGATATACATTTTTTAAGATAAAATACAATATGAGTTCATACTGATTCTTTCTGTTCATAATTTAAGACTATAGGATTTTTACTTAAACACATATAATTTATATACATATCTCCTTTCTCCCATACCAAAAAATACCAGTTTTTAGAGTACTCATGTAAACAGTTATTTTCAGTGTCAGATTAACAATACCACGATCAACACCACTATCCCCGATATGATTACTTAAAACAGGTTAAGATTTTTTTAAGTTTTTCTTTGTCTTTGCAGGTTATCTCACTGTAGATTTACAATAATTCAGTGGTTTAAATTTATAGTTGATCTTTGAAAAAAACAGGTTGAACTTCAAGGGTCCATCATATGTGGATTTTCTTCTGTCTCTGGCACCCCAAGACAGCAAAACCAACCCCTCTCTTTGCCTCCTTATGATTTTCTTAATAACAGTTTATTTTTTCTGGCTTACTTTATTGTAATAATATAGTATATAGTACATATACAAAATGTGTGTTAGTTGACTGTATGTTATCAGTAAGACTTCTGGTCAACAGTAGGCTATTAAGTTTTCGGACAGTTGAAAGTTATATGTGGATGTTTGAGTGTGCCGAGTGGAGGGGACTGGCACTTCTAACCCCATAATTGTTACAAGGGCTATTGTATTTAGAATGATGTGTACCTTTGAGATTACGCCACCAAGTGGACCAGTTAGAGCTACTGGTTTTTACTTGATTTTTTTATGGACTGCTTTTTGTAAATTTAATTTTGTTTTATAATGATATTGCTAAAATTAAAATTTTAGAAAAATTAAATTTAGCAGAAATTAATTGAGCAATGACTAATTTGAGAATCAGACAGCCCTCAGAACAACAGGAGGTTCAGAAAGTATCGTTCCACAAAGAGGCCAGGCAGCACTCATAGAAAAAAAACAGAAATGAGATACGGAAACAGCTTGATTGGCTACAGGTTGGCCTTTGCCTTATTTGAACATGGGCTGATCAGTCGACCACCTGTGATGATTGACTGAGACTCAGTTATTTGTTACAGAAGTATATTCCTAAGTTAAGCTGTGAGTTAAATTGCATACTAAGTTGGGTTGCAGTTCATTATATAAGGGCTCAAAATAGGGAGACATCTTTAAGCTAAATTTAGTTTCACAATGTGAAATATTTACTTGGTTCTAAAGTCAAATGTATGAAGTAAGATGTTTCCAGAGATGTCTAGATTCTATCCCTGTCTCCTCTATCCTATTTATTTCCTCCACCAGAGGTAACATCTTAAAAAACCTCAATTGTTTTCTTTCCCATTATTTTGAAATTTTAAGAAAATATGTATATATATTGAAATTACCACCATCTTTCTCTTTTTGGGTAAAAGCATACTGTATAAATTCCCATCCATTTTTTTTTTCACTTTATAATGTATCCTGGAAATCACACCACAGATGTATATAGAGTTCTTCCCCATTACTTTTCTCAATTATATTAGCATTTCATTGCTTTGTTGTGTGAAAGTTTTTGGGAAGCCACTGTTTTGGACTAGCCTCATGCACTAGGCCCCAGCAGACCAGACCAAATCAGAATGGAGTCGTTTGTGCTAAGTACAACGTAATCAAACTGAACTTTGAAATGGGCCAGTTTTCCAAAAAATGGGAAATTCCCCTAAGCCTGAGTCAGTGAAACAAGGAAGTTCCTTCTGCTTTAACTCTAAGAGAAAAATAACTTTGAAACGACGAGTCTGCTTTTTGTTCTGTTTCTGCTTTCTTCAGCCCCTATTTGCCAATAAAACCAACCGCCTCTGCTCAGCTGATCAGAACACTCATTCTACTTTATAGAATGGGGTGTTTTCTGAGTCTAGAATCACAAATAAGAGTCAATTAAGATTTTTAAACTAATTCATTGTAACGCTGTCTTTCGACTGTTGTACTATAATTTATTCAAGCATTCCTTTATTTAGGAATTTGGGGGTAATTTCCAATATTTTGGTATTACGAATCATGCTGAATAGTCGTGCATGCCCTTTCATATTTTCACCACACGTATTTTTGGGTGAAAGCATGAATGCATCCATGCAAGATTTTGCTAGATATTAAGCTACTCTTTTCACTATTTCTGTACAGATGGAGGGACAGATGAGACAGCTGCCTGGGGCACTTCAGCAGTTACTGGCACAGCTGGGATTTGAACTTGGATGTTAACTATTTTCATACACTCTCTAGGTCATTCCAAGGTGGCAGAGACAAGCAAATAATTTCGTATCTGGACAGCATATTCACTGAAACACTTATGCGTATCCTTCCTGCTCCCAGCATACAAGTTCTTCCTTAGCAAAACCTCCAGTCCTCTAATTTAGCATACTTTCGTCTAATCTGTCACTTTCCTCAGGCCTCAAAACTAAGAGCACTCCTCGTCCCCACCCGGTAATAATCTGGTCGGGTATAGCGGCGGTGGGCGGAGAGAGAATTGGAGGTGGAGAGCTTTGCGCATGCCCGGACACTTAGGACTCTGGGGCCCCTGCAGAGGCAGGACCAGGATGTGACGTAATAACCGCGCGCGGCGCCCGGCGTTCCCACAAGGTCGCTTTGCAGAGCGGGAGCGAGCTTAAGTAACTAGTCCCTAGTTCGAGGGTGGGTCGTGTCCTTTTGCCTTGGTACCAGCGGAGACATGACGGGGTATACTCCGGATGAGAAACTGCGGCTGCAACAGCTGCGAGAGCTGAGAAGGCGATGGCTGAAGGACCAGGAGCTGAGCGCTCGGGAGCCGGTGCTGCCCCCACAGAAGATGTGGCCTATGGAGAAATTCTGGAATAAGTTTTTGGAGAATAAATCCCCTTGGAGGAGAACGGTGAGTGACAGACCTCTCCAGGTCCCCCCTCAACACACCCCACCGCGGCCAGCAGCCCGGACACTGAACGTCCGCTCCCTGCAGCCACACCAAGGACTGATAACCGCTCCGTGCTGGGAAACACTGGCCAGTCCCGAGAGCGCTCCTGGAGTCCCGGGAGGCAGGAGTCCGGGAATATGTATGGCTTTGAGAGAATCATGCCTTTTATTGTCAAGTACAGTGAGACGGGGGCGAATTTTAATACTTAGGTTTTCCAGGACGCTGCACATTTGGTTCTCTTTTGACTGTAGAAATCTTCCCTCAGAATAATAGCCAAGGACTCGCTAGAATTAAAATTCTGTGATTTAAGTATTTGAGGACACTTGTCTAACTTTTAAGTGTGACGTTCTAGAGATCAAGTAACACAGTATCCAACTACCAGAGGGCACAGCCAGCCCTTAGCTGGTAGTACAGCCCCATGTGATCCCCGTAAAAGACAGGGTCCTGTTGGTATGCCTTGTGAGTCACATTCAAGAGCTACCTTTCTAAACTACCGTTCTGTACTTTTAACACAGGGTTTCGTTAAAAAATGACATTTTGGACTTTGAAGAAAATCACTCATTCAAGAAATTTATTTTCAAGGCCTCTGGGTATTTTCTTGAGGTCTGTTATGGGTGATAAACATCTCAGAATTGCTTTCAGTTACCTACAACACTTACTGATAATAGTAGTAATAATACTAAGTAGCACCTGGGTGCTTGCTGTGTACTTGGCACTCTACTGAGGGTTTTACAAATGTTACTTCATTTCTTTATTCCTGCAAGGTAGATATTCCTAATCCTCACTTTAAATGTGAAGAAACTGAGGCCTATAAAGATTCAGTGATTTGCCGGTGGTCAGGGAGCTAGGAATTGAAGGAGTTCATATTGAAATCAACATGTACCTATTTCTTACTGTACTACAAAGTCTAGTGCAATAGAATTGTTGAAAATTTTTTCTGAGAAAGTGGTATTGGATACTTATTTATGGTGGTAAAATTCAACTCTTCTCTCACCCTTTGTATCCCTGACATTATCGGGATATTGGCAGTCACTGATTTAAGTTGACATCCCATCCATCAGCCAGTGATAAAAGGAAGTAAATAAATTATCATGTGTTGAAATTCACCTTACCTTAATGTATTCTTTTATAATCATATCTGTTATAATTCTTAGATTCTTGATTGTCCCTTCCTTGAATGGATAGGTGTTTTGTAATCAAATTGGAGGACATGGGAAAGTTCCATTTTTAGTTCTTTTTTAAAATAGTGTTGCAGAGGGCATTTTGGAGTGAGTTTGGGACACCCATTAGTATGTAAAATGTCCTTTTTCCAGCATTGGTGTTGTCAAGGTTTTCTGCCTTATACTTAAAATAATGTGAGTGCCATTGATCAATAAATAAGGGAGATGACTATACCTGAAAAATTATGAGGTTTGATTACTCTGGTTAAATACATTAAAATTATTATTTCATTAATTTGCTCTATTTTATCTTTAACAAACTTATAATAAGGGTATTTTTTAAAGTCTTTAAAAAATCTATAAATGCCTTGCTATATTCTTGCAAAATACTATTTAAGCATTTTGGTCTGGACTTTGTAGGTATCTTCTAGTGGACTCTGCATTTACTAAGAATATTTGAGTAGATGAGGTTACCTACAAACTATAAGAAAATATGTACCATTTAGAGTTTTGTAAAATAATAATGACATTGTTACATCATTGATGCCTTTTGTTCTGCCATAAATATGAAAAATGGGATATGTTTATTTTGTGTATGTGTTTTTTCCGCCAGGTCCATGGGGTATACCAAAAGGGTATCTTTATTTTCACTCATATACTTGTACCTGCCTGGATTATTCATTATTACCTGAAGTATCATGTGTCTGTAAGTATGTCCTCTTCAGAATTTATTTTTATATTGTCCAAAATTATTTTCTATGTGGATATCTTACCCTACTTAGTGGAAATAATCTGCCACTTATAAATGGATTTTGAAGTACTTTGAATTCTCTTAGGTAAAAGGTTTAATGAAAGTTACGTAATTGGGTATAGTTTTTTAAAAAAATATTGTGACTAGTTTACAACTTGGAATGGATTTCCTCATAGAAATTGGTATTTAAGAGATAAGAATGTAGTGACCTAATAATACTAGGGTAAATTTGGGTCATGAATAGGAAAGGAGAAAAGAATTTCTGCTCCTTTTAAAAAACCTATATCTGGTATAAGATAAAAATTCAAAATAGACAAAGCTTATCTTTGTCATCATCCCATTTCTGTTTCCTTCATTTTATCTGATTCTTCACAACTTTTATTTATTTAGAACTCAGGATGTCCAGATGCCTGCACTTTTTCACTGATACAGATCTTGCATGGGCTGATTGAACTCAGCCAGTCATGGTATTTTAAATGCTCAGTCTGGTGCAGGGTGTTGGATCCCAGGCAGAATGAGAAGGGCATACATTTTGGGAAGTGGCGTGGCAGAGGGAGCAGTGGAGTGTTGGAACACAAAAGAGTGAGGAGGGCATTTGTATACCAAGAGAGGGGTGTTAGATCCTGAGTGGGTTGCAGGGGAGAAGGGTGAGTACGTCTGTTTGGGGGGCAACAGTGGCAACAACCTAGTATGGGATATTAGTACCTGAGCAGAGGGAGGAGGACATCTGGAAGAAGGATGGTATGAGGCAGTGAGGCAAGTGGTAACTTAGAGTAAGATGTCAGAACCTGAATGAGGTGAGGCAGGTATTCATGCTGGGATGTGGTTGTGGTGACAGGAGATGGCTTATATATAGGGAGATTGGTCAAATACAGGCATACCTCAGAGATCCTACAGAATTGGTTCTAGACCACTGCAGTTCCAAAAGTATTCTTTGGTTCTAGACCACCAAAATGAGTTACACTAATTTTTTGGCTTCCTAGTGCATATAAAAGTTATGTTTACACTGTGCTGTAGTCTCAGTGTGTAATAGCAGTATGTGTAAAAGAACAATGTATATGCTTTAATTTAAAAATACTTTATTGCTGGGCCATGTGCGGCGGCTCCCACCTGTAGCCCTAGCATTTTGAGAGGCCAAGGCAGGAAGATTGCTTGAGGCCAGAAGTTCGACCAGCCTGGGCAACATAGTGAGACTCCATCTCTACAAAAAAAAAAAAAAAAAAAAAGAGCTGGATGTGGTGGTCCACACCTGTAATCCCAGCTACTCAAGAGGCTGAGATGGGAGGATTGCTTGAGCCCAGGAGGTCAAGGCTACAATAAACTGTGATTGCACCACTGCACCCCAGCCTAGGTGCCAGGGTGATATCCTGCCTTAAAAAAGCAGGCCGGGCACGGTGGCTCACACCTGTAATCCCAGCACTTTGCGAGGCCGAGGTGGGTAGATCACGAGGTCAAGAGATAGAGACCATCCTGGCCAACGTGGTGAAACCCTACCTCTACTAAAAATAAAAAAAAAATAGCTAGGCATGGTAGTGCGTGCCTGTAGCCCCAGCTACTCGGGAGATTGAGGCAGAAGAATCACTTGACCCTGGGAGGCGGAGGTTGCAGTGAGCTGAGATCGTGCCTTTGCACTCCAGCCTGGCAACAGAGCAAGACTCGTCTAAAAAAAAAAAAAAAGAAAAAAAAACTTCATTGCTAAAAAATGCTAACGGTCATCTAAGTATGATCTTTTTGCTAGTGGAAAGTCTGCTTCGATGTTGATAACTGCTGACTGATCAGGGTGATAGTTGTTGCAGGCTGGAGTGGCTGTGGCAATTTCTTAGTATAAGACAACAGGCTGGGCACGGTGGCTCACGCCTGTAATCCCACCACTTTGGGAGGCCAAGGCAGGTAGATCACGAGGTGAGGAGTTCAAGACCAGCCTGGCCAAGATGGTGAAACCCTGTCTCTACTAAAAATACAAAAATTATCTGGGCGTAGTGGTGGGTGCCTGTAATCCCAGCTACTCAGGAGGCTGAGGCAGGAGAATCACTTGAACCGGGGAGGCAGAGGTTGCAGTGAGCTGAGATTGCACCACTGCACTCCAGCCTGGGCAACAGAGCAAGACTCCGTCTCAAAAAAAAGAAATTATATATATATATGTATATTTGACAACACTGCTGAGGTTTGCCACATCTATTGACTTTTATTTTCATGAAAGATATCTCTGTAGCATGAGATGCTGTTTGATAGCATTTTACCCACAGTAGAACTTTTGGAGTCAGGCCTTTGAAACCATGCAGCTGCTTTATCAACTAAGTTTATGTAATATTTGAAATATTTTGTTGTCATTTCAACAATGTTCATAGCATCTTCACCTGGAGCAGATTCCATCTCAAGAAACCACTTTGTTTGCTCATCCAAAGGGAGCAACTTCTCATCTATTAAGCTTTATTATGTGATTGAGGCACTTCAGTCACATCTTCAGGCTCCACTTCTAATTCTAGTTCTTTTGCTATATCCACTACATTGAGAGTTCCTTCCTGCACTGGTCTTGAACCCCTCAAAGTCATCCACGAGAGTTGAAATCAACTTCTTCCAAACTCCTGTTCATGTTGAAGATACTTTGACCTCCTCCTATTAATCACAAGTCTTCTTAATGGCATATAGGATGGTAAATTCTTTCCCAGAAGATTTTCCATTTACTTTGCTTTGATCCATCAGAGGAATCACTATCTTTTTTTTTTTTTTTCTTTTTGAGACAAGGTCTTGCTGTGTCACCCAGGCTGGAGTGCAGTGGTGCCATCTTGGCTCACTGCAACCTCCGCCTCCCAGGTTCAAGCAATTCTCCTGCCTTAGCCTATCAAGTAGCTTTTGAAAGAAAGTGAGAAACACGCAGCTCTTCCTTTTATTTGAACAGTTGGAGGTCATTGTAGTATTATTATTTGGCCTAATTTCAATCTTGTGTCTCAGGGAATAGGACGGTCCAAGGAGAGGGAGAGAGGTGGGGAATGACCAGTTGGTGGAACAGTCACAACATACAACATTTACTGATTAAATTCACTATCTTATATGGGTGTGATTTGTGTTGCCCCTAAAATTTATAGTAGTAACATCAAGAATCACTGAGTGCAGATTACCATAACAAATATTAATATAACAATAATGACAAAGTTTGAAGCCAGGCGCGGTGGCTCACACCTGTAATCCCAGCACTTTGGGAGGCTGAGGCGGGCAGATCAGCTGAGGTCAGGAGTTCGAGATCAGCCTGGCCAACATGGTGAAACCGCATCTCTACTGAAAATACAAAAATTAGCCGGGCGTGGTGGTGCACGTCTGTAGTCCCAGCCACTCGGGAGGCTGAGGCAGGAGAATACCTTGAACCTGGGAGAATGAGGTTGCAGTGAGCCAAGATCCTGCCACTGCACTCCAGCCTGGGTGACAGAGCGAGACTCCACCTGAAAAAGTTTGAAATATTGGGAGAATTACCAAAATACTGCACAGAGATGGGAAGTGAACACATGCTCTTAGAAAAATGGCACTGAGTTTCCGGGATTGGGGCCCGGCCCATGCCAGCTTTGCAGAGCACACCTGGTGTAGACCCCAGCAGCCAGGGCCACGACCAGCTTGAGCAGCTGGCCAGCAGGGGCCACTCCCTGCAGGGCCTAGAGGCCTTGAGGACATCTGCAGTGCTCCAGAAGCCCAAGACCGTGACGCTGCGGGCCCTGTGCAGCCAGAGGAAGTTTGGCGTGGTGGGCAGGAGCTGCAGGGAGGTGCTGCGCAAGGGCTGCCTCCGCTTCCAGCTCCCTGAGCATGGCTCCCGGCTGTGCCTGTACAAGGATGGCATGGAGCTGACCGAAGACTACTTCCCCAGCGTCCTCGACAATGCTGAGCTCCTGCTGCTCACCTCGGGCCAGGCCTGGCAGGGATATGTGAGTGACATCGGGCGTTTCCTCAGTGCTTTTCTCGAGCCGCACGCTTGGCTCATCCAGGCCGCCTGACAGCTACTGTGTGATGAGCAGGCCCTGCAGAGGCAGAGGCTGCTGGCCGACCTCCTGTACAACATCAGCCAGAACATCACAGCCGACACCCAGGCTGAGGACCCGCTGTGGTTTGAAGGCTTGGAGTCCCAATTTTGGAATAAGTCTGGCTATCTGAGATATAGCTGTGAGAGCCAGATCCGGAGTTACCTGAGAGAGGTGAGCTCCTGCTCCTCCATGGTGGGTGCAGAGGTTCAGGAGGAATTCCTGCAGGTCCTCCGCTCCATATGCCAGAAGCTCTAGTCTGTGCAGTGCAATGGCATCTACTTCGACAGAGGAGCCAAGGGTGGCAGCCGTCTCTACACACTGGAAGGCTAGTTCTCCTGCCAGAGTCCCTTTGACATGGATGGCTGCTTGTCGAGATACTCCATCAACCCCTAAAGTAACAGGGAGAGCAGGATCCTATTCAGCACCTGGAACCTGGATCACATAATAGCAGAAACGTACCATCATTCCTACACTGGGTGGAAGCAATTAAAGAACAAGATGGAAGAGAAATGGACTAGGAATATTTTTATGGCCTGCTTTTTACGTCAGAGAACCTAAAATTAGTGCACATTGTCTGCCATAAGAAAACCATCCAAGACCAGCTATGACCTGAACAGAATCTACAAATCCGAGACAAGGTTGAAGAGGAAATGGCCTGTGCGAAAGTGCCAGTGACACGTACACACCACATTCTCGTCTTTGCTCGAGGCCTGACGTGGGCATAATGTTAACAGGTGCCTTTTTTTTTTTTTTTTTTTGGTCCAGTAGCTCCTGGAAAAAAACCTTAAAAAATATTTCCAGCAAATCTGATTTCAGTACATTTCTGAATCGTTGTTTGTTTGTTTTTTGTAGCTGGAGTTTCACTTTTGTTGCCCAGGCTGGAGTGTAGTGGTGCGATCTCGGCTCACTGCAACCTCCGCCTCCCGGGTTCAAGTGATTCTCCTGCCT